AGCCTCCCAGGGCAGCGGTCAAGTCCTACACGCACCAGCAATGCCACTCACCCCGAGAAAGATGGGGGAACGCGCTGAGGGGTGGGATCGTTGGGCTGTAGAGGAGCTGCCCTCCATCCTCCGCAGCTGAGCCTCACATCCTCCCTGTTACAGAAACTGCCGGTGCAACCTGGAGCATGCCCTGCAGCAGACCACGAACCGTGGCCAGAAGCGGCTCAGCTATGCCCTCCAGACCCCCGACCTGCTGTGGGAGGACGATACCCCGCAGTGGCAGAGGAAAGCCGTGCCAGATCCCCCTTCAACTGAGAGCGCTCAGGATGTTTTTCAGCTGCATCCGTACTTCAGCCAGGAGACCCCACTGGAAAGCAGCCCAGGCAACCAAGAGGAGCGCTGGACGTGGCAGCCCGTGGAGAGCAGCAAGAACGTGAAAGCCCCTCTTTTATCCACGAGACCCAAATCCCAGCTTCCTGGTCTGAGAAAAGCAACCAGGGAGGGTCCTTCTCCGAGTCTTCCTGGGAGGTTCTCTGCAATTTTTGGACATGCTGATGCTGTCACCAACAAGTTCATAACCTTTGCAAACAGAATACCCACAGAAGAGCACAGGAGAATGTCACCACCAGGAATGACGCAGGCGGTGGTAGAGAGCCAATCTCAGCCTCAAGCCGTAAGTTCCCCTCAGCATCAGTGGGGCAGCTGGCTTAACCAAGCCCTGCCAAATTCAGCTCAACCTCCACAGGCAGAGGACTCTTACAAGAGAGACCTGGAGAGGGGATTTTTCCCAAACTGGACAGAAGTCTCTAAGGTTGAGAAGGTGACACCTGGAGAAGGCCAGCAGGCCAGAAGGGTCTCCTCTAAAGGGGCGACATGTGAGCCCAAGACCAACGTTGTTTTCCTGAAAGTCCACAAGAGTGCCAGCAGCACCGTCATGAACATCCTTTTCCGCTTCGGCGAGATGCACAACCTCACCTTCGCCTTTCCCGTCGGGGGTGGCAACCAGTTCTTCTACCCGCAGCACTTCTTGGCAAAGTTCGTGAGGGGTTTCTCCCCCAGGAGCCCTCGGCAGTTCAACATCCTCTGCCACCACATGCGATTCCTGCAGCCGGAGGTACGGGCAAAGCTGCGATGCCTTGGGAAGGGTAAACGGGGAAAGGAGAGAGGGGCTCGTGGGGAGCGAGGTGGGACACCTGTAGAGCACATAAACTCTTCGGAGATGAAGCTAGAGCGAGACAGGATTGCCCCCAGGTACCTTGCATGGTATGGGCATCTCCTGAGAGCTTCTGTAAACAGGTTTGATGAACGATTGTGCTGTGACCTGAGGCAAGCCAGGGGACAGGGTGTGTAGCAGTCAGCAACTATCATCTCGTTCTCCTCTGGTGGGCCCTTGGAGATGTCTTGCTCACTGGAGAGGCCCAGAGGGCACCAGCTGCAAGAGAAGAACGCCTTAAGCACATCAGCTCAGGTCAGCCGTGCCCAGCATCCAACCTTCTGGATGCCACTTGAGGACATGCAGATCTGGGGAAAGACAAGGAGCTAGGATGTATCTCAAGCCCGGACAGGCCACCCAGGCAGTACGTAGCGGGGAGCTTTGGTCACTGCTCACCCCGTGTACCTCTTTGGGGCTCCCCACAGCTGACACAAGTGCTCCTTTGATGAGCTGCACCCTGAAGCCCTCCCCGGCACCCACCATCTCCAACCCCAGCCAGCGTTTCTGCGTTCCAGCAGAGCACAGGATTGTGAGCGAGCAGGTCCCTTCTCCCTACCCCTCCGTTAAAACCTGCTTTTTCTCTTCCGCAGGTGGAGAAAGTGGTCTCCAGCTCAGCCGTCTACTTCTCCATCCTGAGGAACCCTGTGCAGCTCATGGAGTCCTCCTTCGTGTACTACAAGGGCACGTCGGCTTTCTCCCGCGCTCGCAGCCTGGAGGATTTCCTCAGCGAGCCCTACCAGTACTACAACCCCGCGCACGGTGACAGCCACTACGCCAGAAACCTCATGACGTTCGACTTTGGCTTCAACCCCGACGCAGAGGTCTCCGCTGAGCGGGTGCAACTCATGCTAAAGGCCATCGAGGCGTCCTTCGACTTGCTCCTCATCTCCGAATACTTTGACGAGTCCATGGTGCTGCTGAAGGAGATGCTCTGCTGGGACCTGGACAGTGTTGTCTTCTTCCCGCTCAACAGCAGGGACAGCAGCACCAAGTCCCCCATCCCAGACTCCATCGTGGAGAAGATAAAGGACTGGAACAGGCTGGACTGGGAAATCTACACCCACTTCAACAGGACCTTCTGGGAAAGGATCAACCGCGACATCGGCAGGGAGCGCATGCAGCGGGAAGTAAAGGCGCTGCGAGAGAGGCAGGCAGAGCTGGCGAGGATCTGCCTGCAAGGGATGGGCAGCGTGGCCCCAAAGGACATCAAGGACTCGTCCCTGCGGCCGCTGCAGCATGGCAACGCAAAGATCTTGGGCTATAACCTCAAGCAGGGCTTGGATAAGGAGACGGAGCACATGTGCCGGCGGCTGGTGACCCCGGAGCTGCAGTACAGCAGTGCTCTCTACAAGAAGCAGTTTGCCCCGATGCCCCCTGCAAACCCCCAGCCCACTCCCTCTCTGCAGGGCAAAGCTCTGCGGCACAGGCTGGAGGGCACCCCAAACTAAAAAGGCATCGTTCTCCAGCTGCCTTTGCTGAGGACAGCGAGGCCCTCGCCTCCTGGGCTGGGGGGCTGTTTCTGCCCCAGGGGGGGTGGCAGGCTGGGACGCTGCTGCCCACGAGAGCCCCTGGCCACCGCTGACTGTGCCCAAGCTCTTGGGTGCTACACCCTGCCGTGGCTACGGAGCAGGATGGGCTGCAACGGGGGGGTCCCAGGGACTCGACATGAGACGGCTCTTCCAGGGTACGTCCCGAACAAACAGGGCAAAACCCCCAACTGGCAGCCAAAGCCTTGGATTTGCCGATCTGGGGCTTTACGTGGTGTAGCACTGACTCCAGCAGCGAGGAGCAAAACCAGGAGGGCAGCCCAAATACTCGGCCCCGCGCCAGAGACCGCAACAGC